CTTGTATGCCTTCTTGAAAAAAATGTCCATTGAAATCCTTTTTCCATTTTTGGTTGGATTTTGTCTATTTGTTATTTGAATTGTAAGAGTTCTTTATATATTTTGGATACAATTCCCTTCTCAGATATGTGGTTTGCAATATTTTCTCCCATTCTGTGGGTTGTCTTTTCACCTTCTTAGTAGTGTTCTTTAAGGACAGCAGTTCTTAATTTTGATGAAGTCCAATTTGTTTTTTGTCTATTGTTGTTTGTGCTTTTGATGTCATATCTAAGAAACCATTGCCAAATACAACGTCATGAAAATTTTCTCTTTATTCTAAGAGTTTTATAGTTTTAGCTCTTAAATTTAGGTCTTTGATCCATTTTGAGTTAATTTTTCTGGATGGGGTAGGAGTCCAACTTCATTCTTTTGCACATGGCTATCCAGTTGTTTCATCATTATTTGTTGAAAAGACTATTTTTTCCCAGGAAATACTGCTTAAGGACAAAAATTTCAGGGCAATCCCAATGTTTTGATGTCTAGTGACAGACCCACAAGCAGAGAAGGGAAACTGATGTTTATTGAGCCCCTGGTGTTCAAGTCACAGTTGTAGGCAAGGTGGGAGAATCCCAGGCATATGCATTGCTAGTCTCCTATTTGTACCCATGATGGGAATAACTAATCAATCACAGTAAACTCTCTGGCTAAGCCTTGATGACTGCCAGGGCTAACATGCAGGAGTGCTGTCCCAGGAGGATCAGTTAGGGAGGAGCTAAAACAGTAAGGTTGATTTTGGATATGTTGAGTGTGTTGTGCATTTGGGGCATGTAGGTGGAGCTGTGGCAATAGGTGGTTGGATATAAAAGACTGGAGGCCAAACCAAGGGAGAGACCTGGGCTGGAGAGAGAGACTTGAGACTTGGTATGTACATGGGAGCAGATCCAACCTCCTAGAGTGAGTAACAAGGCAAGATAACCTGGGATTGACCCAAGGAGTCTGATGAGCCCACAAATGGGACTGCTAGGGACTGGCTTGAGAGGTAGAAGAAAAACCAGGAAGAGTATTGGCGAGGAAACCGAGGGTGAAGGGAGATTCAGGGAGAGCTATTGACAGTATCCAATATCGTGAGAGGTCTGGTGAAGTGCAGACCAGAGAAAGTCTCAGACTATCACGAGGATGTTGTTGGTCACCTTGTGAAGGCAGTTTTAGTGGAGTGTGGAGGTGGAAGCCAGACGCAGAGTCTAGGCAGTGAACTGGATGCGAGCAAAGACTTGTGTTAGTGAAATCTGATAAGAGAGACAGAAATAGGTCTCAGAAAGCCAACAAGATTATTGTAATTTCTTGGAATTTAAAGAAAATCTGAGGTCAAATAAAAAGTTCAGTAGACTGTGAGAAAAATGTCTGAGGGAAGATGAGCTTCTTTGTGTCTGCCGGTTCCAGCCCGCATGTACAGCTGCACTGTTGTCTGAGACATTCCTGCAGAAATGGATCCCAAATGGTGGGGGAAAATTAATCTCAAATATAGGCCTTGCTAAAGAATATTTATTGGCAGATAAAGCACAGAATCCCTCAGCTAGTATTTCTCATAGAAGGATCCATGTGATCACCTGGTTCAGAAACCCACAGTGCTTTAAGAATATCAATCCCAGGGATGCATCCCAGATCTACTGAACCAGGATGTCATGGTGTAAGGCCCAGGTTTAATAAGCTCTCCAGGTTTAGAAAGCTCTAGAAAGCATTTGTCCAATGTCTGGCTGATGATGTAGATATTTACTAACTGTTCCGTTCATTGCATTCTCCAGCAGTCTCATGACGTGGGTACCAAGAGCCAGATTAAGGCCCTTGCCTGCTGGGCAGTTGCCTGGAACAACATCTATAGATGGAGTTAAAATATTTCTGGAATAAACAACTGCAAACTGGGTCCACTTCTGTCAGAGTGGCTGGTAGGAAAAGAAAACACATTTATTAGCCTCAAACTGTCTGTTTTGAATATTTTTACGAAGAGCACAAAGTGGCCATCAGCTAAGGTTTTGCAACAGTCTTCTGTATGGTTCTGTGTTTCTTACTTGGAACTCGTGATTAATTTTGTTCTAAGTCTTAAATTATTTATTGATTCCTTAAAGTGTTCTGGTTTGGAAAATTTCCCCCCTCAAAACTCCAAAACAACAACAGCGAAAAAATCCAAACTCAAGTAAATCCAGAGACAAATATAAGAGCTACATAAAAGTGGAAGCTGTTTTGCTTAAATTTATCAGAAAATGAACACTGTCCTGGCAGTGAAAGAAATTAGGGAAAATTCTGCTTCAGCCTAAAACATTCATTAGCAGAAGATTAGTTTCATCTCATTCCACTAAATAAATGTGGAACAAAAGATGTAAAATATTGGTTTGAGAGGGTGCAAAATCATTCACTTGTCTGGATTCCCATCAGCCTTGCTTGGGCCTGCATGTGATCCTGACTATTGGAATTATTGAATTAAATAACTGAAAGGAGTTCAGTTCTAAAACGTATTTTCTGAGTGCCGATGGAAGACAAAATTTCTCTCATCATTCACTTAACAAGAGCAAGACAGATATTAAAGTAAGTAATTCAAAAATATTGTTATATACTTCTGTTAGGTGAGGCTTGTATGTTGATAGATTCATGATAAAATGTCCTCAAAATACACGCTATGTAACAAAGTACCTATTAAAGTGCAGGTGCCTAAAAAATGGAAAAGCATAGCATTCATAGACTTCATTTACTTTGAGTTTTAAAGAATAAAAATATTAGAGATGTAACATATTTTGAATTTTAAGAATAATTCCAAATTTTCATAAAGTTTTTGTCTGGGAGGCTATCCAAACTTTATTCCTTGCTAACTAGCATTATCCATAAATTAAACATTGCTTATATATTTTCTAGAGCCAATGTAGGAGGAATGGTTAAAACATTATTATAGACAAAACTGCTAAAATGTGTTTAACACCATGAAACTGTTAGTCAGAAGTATTTGCCCAAATGCTTCCAACTGTTCACTTGTTTCCATCATATAAATCACTTATATCCCCTTTGCTCTGATAAAGGGAATCAGTAATCTTTATCAATTAAATTTTCCTTATTATTCGTATTATTACTGAGTCAGTATTAAACTATTGAACTACCAATGTCTCATTTTTGCAGTGAAAATGGATTTCTAAAATGCAGTGGTGTTCACCCTGAAACACAGGGCAGAAAATGCTTGCTCTCAATCTTTGGATTTAAATCTGGAAGAATGAATAAATGATGAAATATACAGCTCCCAGAACCGTGTTAACCTGCTATCCTGGGGAGCACAGGAAAAGCCTTTATAATTCAGAGATGCAATCACCTGTTAATTTCTCTGATGAGTGGTTTTGGCCTTTTTAGAGCTGAATTAATCTGATTCTCTGACTTGGAAGCTAGAGGCTGGAAGTAGCATAAAATATACAGGGAAGCCCAGTTTAGAACTTGGCCATCTCCCATCAGGAATGGGCTCACACAGGGGGATTTCTTCCTATGGATTTTTTATTACTCACACAGAGCCGAAAGCAAAATAATGCAGCAGATTCTATAGTTATGGTGAATAGGCTGGACTTCGAATCAGACAACCAGCGTTGGAGTTCTGATTCTGTAATCACTGGCTGTGTGACTCGGGCAAGAGGTAAACCTCTCTGTGCCTCCATTTTCTGTCTATAACATGGCATCTACATCATGAATATGTTGTAAATATTAAATGAGAAGTCCTATTTTTTAACTGATACACCATTATGCCATGAACATAATGTATAATATTACTGAAAAACAATAACAACTAAAAGTGATACATATATACATTTTCTTTTAAAAAAATTTATAGATTTAAAAGTGCTTTTTATCTACATTATTAAAAAGTTTGCAAAGAAGAAGTCAACTTCTTACAGAGCAATGCCGTGAGATGCTTGTCATTGATTCCAGGAAGTGAAACACACAAGTAGAAGCTATTTGATTTTGTAGGTCAAGGTCATTTTGTTCAGCTAATGGGAGAGTGAGGTATTAAGAATTCGAGAATTGCTTAACCTTACTGACTTACTGGTTATGCTGGCTGTGAGATGAAGGAAGGGGACCCTTCCTGGACCTCCTGGTCCAACGAGTATGCTAACCACTGGCGTGTGACTAGACAGTTTCACTTTCAGGGTCCCCAAGATAAATGAGGCTTAGAGCAATCATGAAGTCTTCTCAAGGGACCTGGGAAAGAGGAAGCCCATCTAGACAGTGGGGTGTGCTCTTGTGTTTTCATTGTGCTAGATGACACCTAGAGACAAATGGAAAACACAACACAGCTCAGGAGAAGCTCAGAAAGGAGTATCAGAAGGTCAGCAGAAACAGGGTAAAGTGTGACGTATTTGACAGAAAAGTGACATTGATTCTCATTTTCAATGTGGATCCCCAGAGTGACTGAGGTGTGGGAATCAGGAATAGGTTTAAAAGAGACCTTGACTTAAGAAATCGGGCTACTGGCTTTTATTGTTTAATTGGAAATCTCATTTTGAGTGGAAAAAATAACTTAGGTAAATCCATTCTCCGAATTGTGAGGAAAAAAAAGGACTTGGTTTGTGTTTGGAGGGAAGGCTACTGCGGGTTGTTTCGTGCAGACTTTGAAGGGGACCCTTGAGTGTGAAGCAGGTGCAGCCAGATTGTGTCTTTGGTCGCACATTCTGAGTCATTTCCTGTCTCTTGTGGCTGGTTATCAATGAACTGTGTCATTGTTCAGACATGGCGCCTGCGTTCTGTCTTTTGTGTTTGAGATGAAATTTACACAAATATTTGTCAATTGAGTCCTCTGTGCAGATACTACGCTAAGTGTTGGTGGTGCAGAATATGGAAGAAACTGTATTTGATGTCATGGAGCTCCCACTCTAGAGAGAGTTGAATACATGGAAAGTTTTTCCACTTTGACTTCTCCTTGTCGTCTAATTTACTTATCTACATTCAAAAATTCAGAAACCTGTTTTGAGATGTATTAGATGTGAATTAACTTCTTTTGGGACAAACCCATTTCTTTCTTGGAGTGAATATAATATTACCTTTTATGACATCTGATGGTTCCTGAAAATCAATAAAACCCGTCAATGGTTAACGTTTGACTGAAAGGGAAGGGAGAGTCTGGGGAAGCAGAGCAGTGCAGAGGGAGTGTCCTCCGGGGAGACACACAAGTCTCAGCAAGAGTCTCAACAGCTGAATGGAAGAAAATAACTTTTAACAACCATTTTGTTATTTACTTATGAAAAGGTAAGGGTTGATATGTCTTAATTATGCCGCTAATGTATTTCTTCAAGAATGACAAAATAGGTGGTGGAGGGGGGTACTTAAGAAGTTGCTGGACAAATTTATTCGTTGAGGGGTGCTATGTAACATTGCTGGGAAGGGAAGTTTATTCTTTGTGTGACAGGTTTTGCTTACGGAGCATAATTTCTAAAGTGGTTTCTTTTCATTAGTCTATCTTTTATAAATTCATTTGATGAAATGGCTTTGGTTGAATCAAACTTGGTAGTGGAATTAAGGAAAGATTGAGGTTTTGGGTGTTTAAATGAGTATTATACATATTCTTTGTGAGTAAAATATAAAAGTGCCTAGCCTTAAGATGCTCTGGGGCTCTTGTGTTCTAGAAATCGGGATTGGAATCTCATTCTCACAAAATATCATCTCTCGGATGTGGTCTTCAAAAACTGAGCGTTCTATCTACTTCTCAGAGAACAAGATTTAATTTAGGATTCTTAAGACTGTCTGGGACACAGTGAGGGAGAGGAAATGCATAGGAGAAAAGAAGCTCTTTCTTAAAAGTGCTAGAATAAGAATTAAAAACAGAGGGACAGACCTACCTTCGTAATTGGGAAAGCAAAGCCTGATGTGCATGTTGGTTAGCTTCTGGTGCTTCTTTCGAATGGATGTACCATCTGCTAATGAGTAATTATTTTGAGGTGTCAAGTCATGTATAGCTTATTGGCGTCTTCAAAGATCCGGCCTCTGTCTCGGTTATTTCTTTATTACCTGTGACTTTCTGGGGATAGATGCCCTCTGTGATGGGGGATGCCAAGTGGGAGATTGGGAGGGCAGTGCATTCTCCGATATTTTCTTGTCTTTATTTTCTTCAAAAACATAGATAGCAAGTAAGGAATAGTTTGAAAGAAAAAGAAAGCACATGTTTAGATGACAAGGAAAATGGATGATGTTCAGCTCTCACCAGGAAAAAAATGAGTCTTTTACTGAGTGAGGGTTTATCATGGATTACAGGGTATATAGTTGATGAGTCTTTGGGGTTGGGCAGATGGGTTAGACCTTTTTCATCATTTACCAGCCGGCAGGCACTGAACAGATTGCTTAAACTCTCTGAACCTTAATTTTCGCATCTATAAAATGAAAATACTTGCCTAACCAAGTAGTTGCGAGAGTAAATTAGAGAGGCATGTAAGGAACTCAGTATATTGCTTGGCACATGGTAGACTTTCAATGAATAGTTAGCTCTCCTTTCCATGAGAAAGTTCAGGTAGGTGACTCAGGTCAAATTGAGAAGTTGCCATTTCATTCTCTAGGGGAAAAAACAACAGTAATGCTGCAATAACTACATCTTCCATTGTACAAGAGAGCCACAAACTCCATGCTAAGAAAGTGGGATCCAACAATGTAAGAGAAGGATAAAACAATTGGATTTTGCTTTATTTTTTTTAATAAGAGGCATTTAAAAGCCCCTCTGACGTTTCATATGTAAGTCTTCCGGTGAGGTGTGGGTGTGGCCTCCTTTGAAAATTGCTGACATGACCCCTGGGAAATGTCATTGTTGTTCAAGGTGGAGGTTGCATTTCCGGTACCTCCTCCCTTCTTTTATAAAAAGCAAAATGTATCCTGGCAGCAACTCAACTTCCTGTTCCGTTGTCAAAGGAACTCTCTGGAAAGGAGAGTATGCCTCTACTTTTCTACCATGTCAAGAGAGACTCTGAGAAGGAAAGCTGAGCATTGTGATGCATTTTTCTCCAAAGGCCCACAAATAAGTGCTTTTATGGGTGTTAGTTTACATGAGTAGAAACATGTAGATTTATTCATTGGCATAACGTTGCATTCATTCAGAAACCCCTGGTGTCGAATTTACAGTGGGGCCAGTCTTTCTATGGCATACTCATTGCTGAAACAAGGAAAGAGGTACTGAAGTTTGTTAAGGGAATATCTATCTACCTATTTGTTACCTGTGAAAACAAACAGGAATGTTTACTTTGGTACAAGAAATATTAACTTAATAAAAGCAGATATTCACCCAGTGGTTGAGGTTGTGGGACATCAAGATTTGGCCACCCTGAAATATATCTCTTTACCTTGACTGTTTTCTCTCTCAGACATTTGACCTCCCCCACTAACTGCCTACAGAATTTGACATAGTAACTCCTTCCTGGAACAGATCTTCTATCTGATGGCTGTAATATAACGTAAAATAGATGTTACAATAGAAAAGGCACCAACAAGTCCATCTTATCAGAAGTTCTGTCTCTCTGGCCACATTCTCTAGGTGGCCCTGCAAGGAGTTGCCAGACAAACATTTTCATTTATAAGGGAAATCTCCATTTGTAAAGGTATCTCCCTCTCTGTATTGGGAAGAGGGGGGATGACCTCATTTCTAGAAACTTATCAATGTGGAAGGTGAGGCCTTAAATCTACATAATAACCTTACTCTTGTTTACTGTGCTTTAGTGGTAATCTCCTGTAACTGACTCCGCCACCCCCAACATCCTTCTTTGTCTTTAGCTGAAGATGGTATTTAAGACGAGATTTCTGCTATTGTGTTGAGAAACGCAGTATCCCTGGTTTCTCCCATGTATACATGTTATTAAACTTGGTATTATTTTCTCCTGCTAACCTGTCTTGTTAATTATTTGGCCAGCCATAAGAACCTTAAGGGAAAGGGCAGAGGGGGATTCTCCCTCTTCCCCCACAAGGTATTAATTACGCTAAAGATGACTTTTCACTTAAGCATAGGTAAAAGACCAAGCTACACTTGGTTATTGTGTATGTGGCACAAAGATAATTAATTTCTCTTAAAATATTCTGTAAGACTGACATATTGAATTCTCTCATCCATGATATACTGAATTGATAATTTCTTACCATATTTTAATTATTTTAAAACATTGGGACTTGCATTCTTGAGTAAGAGACAAAGAGAAATCAAAACGGTAGATTTATGCTTTTAAAGAATGTTTAAACTAAAGATGAACCCTTCCTCACATGGAGGGTTCTGCGCTGGGTCCCTGCAGTCAGATCCACTCGCCTTCCTCAGCCTCTCTGAGCCTAGTTTCCTGCCTTGTAGGATGAAAACAGGACCCACCTTATAGGATTGTGGTGAGATTTAAGTGAAATAAGTTGTCCAAAGTGCTTAACTTAGTAAATGCCCATAGAATGCTAGCTCTTTTTTTTTAAGTTTCAATTATGAAAAACTAACTCATGCGTAAGATTTCATAGTGTTGTTATCCTTTATTAGGCTAGAAGTAAATTCATTTTTCCCTTACTCTCTTGCCCATCCCATTTGTCAGTTATGATTTAATTACAGAAATCAGAAAATTAACCTGCCATACTTGAGCATGACTGCACATTTTTGTCATTAAAATCCTTGCCTCAGGGTCGCCTTATAAATGAACCAGTATCAGAGAAAGTGTTTTTGTTTGTTTTTTTTTAAATCTCAGTGTCTAAATCCTATGTAATGGGATCTAATTTAGACTTACCTTGTACTGAATTTCTAAGAGCAGAATGTGTGATTTTCTTATCTTGACAAAATGCTTATCTGCACACTTTGTAATACACAAAGAAATGTTGTATAATACACGAAGAAACATTTTGTCAAAAATAGTTAAGCCATCTTTTATGAGAAATAGTGATTCCTCTCCTCTTTAGGCCAGAGAAGACCCTTGTGATGTTCTGCTAGATATGGAGGGAAGAAAGTCCTCCCTCGCCTCCCTCCCCGAGTTTCTGAGGCATAAACCTGCACCTCAGGGTCGTCAACCCTGACAGCCTTACTGCCAGCCTGCTGCAGACGCCAGGGAAGTACCATGGCCGCACAGCCACCTGTCCCCACGTCGCACCTCCCTTCCCTTTGACCTAGTCTAGATGAACCTTCTGTTCAGGCTGGGGTGTGCTGTGGGACTTGGAGGACGGGGCCTCTCACCCCAGCTGCCCCTTCCCTTGCTCACTGTGGGGGAGTGCCAGGTGGAAGGAAAGCCAGCCAGGAATGAGCACGAGCACACTTTTCAAAACATTCCTTAGAAGTTATTCTTTCCTTTAATAAGAATAATTATGCTGGTAATTTGTATTTAAATCAATCGTATACATTTAAAACATTTTAAGTCCTCTAAGGGAGCCATCTCTCCTCCCATGACTCCATTTGCCTGACCATGAACCTATTGCTAAAACAAATAATCACTCCCAATTTTGCATATGTGTAAATCCAGATTTTTGCATAGTGAAAGATTGGCATATCTATATTGCAAGGTTTAGTGAGAGAAAGAAGTGCTTACATTTACGTGTCTATGTGTGCGTGTGTGTAGGGGTGGGCATCTATCCTTCATCTTTTTTCTTCCTTCCTCCTAATCAGTCTGAAGTGCAAGGCAGCAGCCCTGATTTTATGCCTGCCTGTTTATTTCTGGCTTACTAATGGCTACTTTAATTGGGCCCCTAATTTGTCAAGAGTGCAAATTGGTCAGATCCTCCTGTGATTTTTCTAAACCTTAAGTGATGTAATTGTGCCAGAGATTGGCGAGTGAGACCAAAAAGATGGGCACGACTGATCGAACATTACTTGATGAACAATGGTGTGAGCGAGCTTTTAATCTGATCTTTACTCGTCTCTGGCCTTCTTTATAATTTGTGCCTCTCTCAGCAATATACAATGCAGAGGTGAAATAAACGGCACACAGAATATCTGGCGCTGTTTGGTCCTGGTGGTGTTATGAATTCCAGTCACATCCTCTCCTGCCCATATTACCTACGATATTTGAAACAAATTTTGTAGTCCTCTCCTTCTGCACCATCTTTGTTCTTTGGAAATGTACAGTTCAACCTTAGAGCAGGGTGAATTGTTTTAATTCCAAGCCCTTAATTCTTTTTTTTTTTTTAAACAAAAAGGATGGGAGATGACGTACTCTATTTAAGGTTTGCCTATCGTTTAGCTTTTTGTAGGGGAAAAAAAAAATCAATGCTTGTGTATTGAGTTACTTGCAGGTTTTGAGACCTGGGACCTAGAAATTCCCTGTCCTTACTCAGATAAATGGGGAAATGACAGGAGTGTCTAAAAATGCCTCTTGGAGGCATTGGAGCCCAGCAGGAGAATCAATCAAGCTTTGAGTGGACCCCCTGGGATGCCATGGGCACTGCATATGTAATAACTTAATAAAGCCCTGTCTGAGGCCACCTGTACCCTGAAATGGCAGTGCCTTTCTCAGTCAAAAACAGAGTCCCTTGGTGTATTAGTTTGCTGGGGCTGCCGTAATAAAGTACCACAGACGGGTGGCTTAAACAATATAAATGTATTGTTTCACAGTTTTGGAGGCTGGAAGTCCAAAATCAAGGTGTCAGCAGGGTTGATTCCTTCTGAGGGTGGTAAGGATCCATTTCAGGCCTCTCTCCTTGGCTTGTAGATGGCTGTCTTCCCCCTCTGTCTCTTCACATAGTCTTCCCTCTATGCGTGTCTCTGTGTCCAAATTTCCCCTTTTTGTGAGGACACCAGTCATATTGGATAAGGGCCCACCCTAATGACCTCATTTTTAACTTCATTACCTCTGTAAAGAGCCCCTCTACAATTAAAATCACATTCGGAGGTACTGGGGAGTTAGGATTCCAACATATGAATTTTGAGGGGGACATTATTCAACCCGTGACACTTGGCTTGATTAAAAAGTGGGAGAATACTGAGGTGAAGGTCAGAGGGGAAATGAGAAGGAGAGATAGTAGAACACAGAAATAGGTGTGTGGTAGGAACTCAGCCTCCTAGGCTGATGTTTCTCAGAGTGGGGTGGGGTGGATGGGGAGTCGTGTCAGTATCTGAAAAAGCAGAGCAGGAATGAAAAAAAAACTTTTTTGAATTTCTGGAAAAATACGTAATGGATGAAGTGACACTAGATGTCATTATGAGGCCGTCTGACCTTTCAGAGGGAGAATAATATATGAATAAGAGAATAGGTGTGGAATTAGCCAGGCAGTGTGATGTTGAGCAAATCTCTTGACTTCTTTGACCCTCACCTTTTGATTTTTGATCTTTAAGAGGCAAATTTTAACAGACCCTACTTCATAGGGTTCTTATGAAAAATCAAGAAGATAATTGATATAGACGCCTTAGCACGAGTGTGGCCAATTGTTCCCAGCAAGTGCTCGCTGCCTTTGTGTTGTTGTCCTGGCTGGACACAGCTTCAGGACGTGGCACGGTTTCAGTGTCGTGGGCTGTGGCGAGTGAAATGGAGGTATCAGCCCTCCAGCAGCAAGTGGTCCATGGTTAAAGCAAGTGGCAGTGGCGTTTCAAAATTCCCTTTTTTCCTTCCCCTAAAACCTTGACCTGTGTTGCTAAGGATATGCTTGGCCTCTCAGATAGTTGCCATAGAAACTGTCTGAATTTAGTCTTTGTACCTGAGGGAAATCCTGACAAATAGCAAAATTTCCAAGCAGATTGTTGGATCAACTATTTTAGGTAGTTCAGATAAAATGTCACTGAATTGTCTAGAAATCTACTCGAATCCTTTTCCAAGTATGTTTGTGAGGAAATCTGTCAAGTGTGTATGGCTTGATGGTTTTAGGCAATTTCAGTTGTAAACTATGGTTTTCCTCCAGCAATACTCTGATCCAGGATGTGACATTCATTAGTGGAATTATGTTCATGCAAAGAGGAAATGTAGGCAAGACTTGTTTGAGAGGCTAAAGTCCTCTTCTGGCATAATCCTAGCATTGATGTAGTTAGCCTTGAATCTGTGTCTCAGGGTGAAAGTTATAATTTCTGTGAAATGTGAAGCCACAAGGAAGAAAGGAAAAATGATATTGAACAGAAGGGAATGAGGCAGAGTTTGGATTCTTATTTGGTTGCTTTTGGAGTAATAAGCAGGACGTTTTTTCCTTAGGTGTATTGCATAGTTAACAGCTGTGTTTAAAGACTAAAGAGGCGGCTGGTGAGCTCTTTGAATGAAGGATTGTGAACATTCTTGGGTTCTTTCTGCGTAAGGAATCTCATATACTTGCAGCTTTGAATTAGAACCACTCAAATTTTAGTATCTAGTTATCCTGGCATTTGCTAAAACACATCTTCCCCATCCATATAATCAGTGAAAATTATACTTATTGCCTATCATTTAAGACCTTTAAATGAAGAAGATTATAATAAAGTGAAGCAGTAAAGAAATGGAATTACCATAAGTTTGTTTCAGGATGTTGACTTGTGGGTTGCTATGGATGAGGTTTCATGAAGTTTCTGGAAACTGAGCTGTTCCACAGAGAGGAGATGGTGGCCTTTAGGGATCCCTTTTTACTGGTTTTATAACTGGATATCATCCAGTGATCATTTCTGGTTGGAAAGACATGATTTTAACAGACTGGTAACTAATCACTTTTATCTCCGGTTTATTCATAGGAGTTTGAATAAAGAAACCACTAAGATGCAAGCCCGGCTGCACTGCTTGTGTCTCCTCACACTTTATTTGGTAAGAGAAGAGGATGTTCTTTGTTTATTTACTAGAATATTTTCTGCCATCCTTCTACCCCATACCAGAGAAACAATGGTTAGCATCACTTGAAAAAGAGTCTATCAAATTAAATCATTGTTTATAAAGGACATATATTTTGCCCCAAAGTGATATTTTTGATGAAATGGCTAAAAATCATATGTCTGTCTTTCAACCAGGGAGATACTTTCTCTTCAGCTTTTAAAAGCCAGTACCACTTAATGGGCAAGGTTTAAAACGAATCTATCTACTCTGGTTTAGACATCATGTATGGCTCAGGGAATCTGGAAAGAAAAGTATACTGATGCATGTATTAGTCTATGTCCCTTAATCTTTTTGTTTTGTTTTTTTTTTACTTTGACCATGAAAAATTACCACTGAAACATGAAGAAAAGCATTTTCTCGGGGCCGGCCCGGTGGCATAGTGGTTATGTTCGCGTGCTCTGCTTCTGTGGCCCGGGGTTCGCAGGTTCGGATCCTGGGCGTGGACCTACCCACCACTTGTCAAGCAATGCTGTGGCAGGAGTCCCATATAAAGTAGAGGAAGATGGGCATGGATGTTAGCCCAGGGCCAATCTTCCTCAGCAAAGAGAGGAGGATTGGCAACAGATGTTAGCTCAGGGCTGATCTTCCTCACACACACACACACACACACAAAAAGCATTTTCTCTATTTTCAACTCTTCTCTGCTCTATACTTTTCTCCCCATATATGGTTTGGAGTGTTCTGGTCAAATTTGTCTTCAGCCATTTGTCGAGCTAACTCTATCTACTACAGGCTTCTAGAGGTTGGAGCTGGATGGAACCTGGAGAGACCCAGCCCCTGATCTCTGGTAGATAGTGGGGTGCCATCTTCGTTTTACTCATGAGGCTCATAAAGGTCATGCACTTGCCAAACAATTTGTTGTATTTGAAGCAAGATTATGGAGAAGCATTTGCTTTCTCTTTGGAGGGAAGCTGCTAGATCTTCACACTTCAAATCGTGGTTCGTTTCTTCTGGAACCCCAAAATAACATATTGAATTTCAAGTTCCAGAGAGCCCCCTCGAGCCCACACAGTTCAAAACATTTACAGAGTAAATAGATCCAAACTTGTAAATGTACCAGAACCTTCTTCCTGGGGGAAAAGCTTCAGTTCAAACTTTATGAGCAATGTGCGTCCTCACACACTGGAGGCTCAGAGCTTGTCAGTAGGACTGCCTAAGGACTGGGTCAAACAGCCCACTTGACTTCTCTCCTCTTCCTACCCTGTCAAATGTCCTTTACTGTCTATATTATCATAGGGTGGTGGTGAAGTCAGACCTAGTTTCAACTTGGCACTGCCACTTACCAGTGATAGGAATTTGGGTGAGTTAACCTCCAAATCTCAGTTTTCTGCCTTGTGAAATGGGACTAATAAGAGTACGTGCCTTATAGGATGTTGTGGCAATTAAATGAGATAATGCATTTATAAAGCCCTTGGATCAGTGACTGGCACAATCTAAGCTCTTGACAAATATTAGCTATTATTATTACTACAGCATTCTAAATACTCAGTGTCTACACTCATATGCACTCTGACCCCCATGAGGAGGACTGTGTTTTAGCCATCTTTGCAGCCCCAGCACATACCACAGTGCCAGGAACAGGATGGAAATTAAATACACAATTATGGAATTATATTGGGAAACAACAATGAGCTCTAAGGAGAGAGAAGATTCTATCATAATTTGATATTAGTGGGCCCTTCTGCTTCTTGTCTGAGAAGGGGACATGCATTTTTCTTCCTAGATAAAAGGTGAAAATAAGTTTTCCTTCTCTCTACTCTCACACCAGTGGGATTTCTACGTAAAGTAAGAAATGCTGTCCGAACCACTGCTGGCAGCCAGAGCCTTGCCCAGGAGGGAGCCAGATGCACAGCCGTCTGTGGGGGGAAGGAAGGAGGTGCTACCCGTGGGATTTCAGGGCCAATGGGATGGAGCTACTTCTCTCTCCTGCCCCCACCCACCCCAGCTCCCAAACCCTCTCCTCTGAAGACTGGAAGTTGAGTTGCAGCTTCTTTCCTTCAGCATAAGGCTCTATTCAGCAGATGTAGCAATTTAAAATGATTGCCAGTCGTTTATTCCATAGCGCAAGTGGCTCTCCTATTTTTGTCTGAGAACTGGTTTTCATAAGGGGGTTAGAAGCACTGCATGAACATATTGCAACGGCACTGAAGAGAGAGGAAGTAAGGAACCCAGGGTTTGGAAAGAGTGCTGAATAAAGAGGGAGGGAAATCAAGGAGAAGTCACCTATTTTAGAGTTTCGCCTGGGACTATGCTTCTTCCAGAAGGAAGAAGAGTTTGGCACAGATTCTGTATAATCAATGCAGGGAACTCTTGGTGGAAGACACAGTGAGGCCGGCTACTGGGCAGGTGGGTCTGGTAATTGCACGTGTCTTTTGCTGGCCTGGAAGGCAGCGTAGCGACGTGGTTCCGAGTTGGGGCTTGGTGGTTCAACAGCTCCATCCCACTGTAGCACCAATTATGTGTGTCTCTGCTGTGGGACTTCTCTGGAGATACTTTCCTGATATTGTTGAGAATCAGAAGTAATGGTGTGTGTGGAGGGTCTAATCCCATAGCTACCAAACAGGAAACACTCAAAAATGTCTCCTCCATTCTCTTCCTTTCCTTTCACCTCTTTGTGCAAGATGGTGGGTGTTATTCCCTTCAACTCTTGCATAAGCCCTCTTGTCCTGTCACAAGTCTCTCACACCATCCTTCCCGGTTCTGGCAGTATGGCTTGATGACTCATAATGTGCACATGCATTTTGAAATCTTTATAGCCCAAACAGCCGTGTTAATGGGCAGGAAGAAAGATTAGTTGCTCTGATACGAGAACCCAACTTTGAACCTTGCAACTGAGATGTATCCTCCTCTCCTGATAGGTGAGCCAGCTTCTCCATGTAGGAAAAATGCAGGCTTGTTTGTGAGGTTTGCCTGACTAACATCGTTTTCCTCTGGATGCCGTCCCTGGTGTGATCAACTGAAAGACATCATTGCCAATGTGAGCAGAAAGTTGATGAAGGCAGCTTGCTGTTGAGCAGTAGCCCCACAGAAAGCCTGGCCCTTGTCTTGTACCAACCATGGTGGCGCCTGGACCTCTGCACCCAGCTCTTGTGCCCCGCCTTCCAGAGGAGCTAATGGAGCTGCAGAAGTTGTAGGAAAGGAGGAAGAGCCTTGGAGGAAGATAAACCTTGCAAGGAATTGATGAGCTAGTCTGTAAGATTGTTGTGTTGGTTAAGAATTCTCTTAGCTACAAACAAGAGGATGTTCAACTGTAGAGTGTCTCCACTAAATAGGTGTTTGTTTCCCTTGGGTGACGAGAAGCTTGCAGTGAGCGGTCTAGGGCAGGTTCAGCAGTTGTGCGATGTTGTCAGAGACTTGGGCTTCTTTCTCTTTGCTGCACCATCATTTAAGCTGGTTTGTCCCTCCTGGTTTCATGGTGGCTGTCACAGCTACAGCCACGAGGTCCACTGTCTGAGCAAGAACAACAGGGAAGAGGGGAGCGCAGTGCCAGCCATATCTGTCCTCTTTCATCAGGAAAACAAAAGCTTCTCCAGAACCACCCCCAGCAGACTTCACCTTTTGTTTCATGAACCAGAACTGGGTCACTTGGCCACCCTCCTAGCTGCAAGGGAGTCTGGGAATGAGACCATTTGGCTTTCTGAGAGCGAGAGGTTGGCAATGGCTGAGGGCAGCTAATCTAAGGGCCTGCCACAACTCTGAGGGAGAGGAGACAAATTCCAAAGCCCCCTGTGTTCTTGTTTGTTTGCTAGTCAACCAGTATCAACTTAATCAAGATTCAATGAACCAAGGGATATAGTGTAAGACCTTTTTTCCCATCACTTTCATCGTAATTGTTTTTGGGTTATTCCTAGCATCTCCACAGCAAGAGTGTACTTGCTTTCCCTAAAGAAATAGAAGACAAATTCTCTTCCCCCTAGTTCTTACATTTTTGGTTTTACCTGTTCGGCTCCAAACATCATTAACTTCCCATAGCATTTTTCTGATTCTAACCTATCCCACCCCTGATTTTTGCCACAAGGAGGAGGCCTGAAGAACCACTCAGGAAGGAGGGGAGACCAGCATCGGGTATGGGTGCTAAATCCCTCCTTCCAGAGGGCGCCCCTCCGAGGGTGGGTTTATGGTGGCTGCCCCTTCCTGAGTGCCACCTGCTCCACTCTGCCTTGTGTTTCCCCTCAGAGGTGCAGTCGTGGTGGGAGAAGAAGACATGGCAGGGGCTGCTGCTGAGTGCTCCCCATCCTCCCGGGCTGGGAATGGTGGGAGCGCACCCTCCTGCACCTCCCAGACGCTGCCTGCTTTCCCGCCAGGTTGTCTTGGCCGCTTTTGCTCCCTCTGGTGGGTGGTGGGGTGTGGTGGCTAAGAGGGCCAGTTCCAGAGTTGCAGGTTTGAATCCTGCTTCCTGCCATTACCTGGGCAAATTACTTAACCTCTTGGTGTCTCAGTCTTATCACCTGTAAAATGGAGCTAACAATAATAATTTACCCACTAGGGTTGTTGTCAAGATTAACTGTGCTTAAGACAGAACTTGGCACATATTCACTTAGCAAGTGCGCATTCTTCTTACTGTCCCAGCTGCCACCTACTGCTATTCCAGCCTGGATTGGGGCATCCACAGAGGCTGCTTGCCTGTCAAGTTCAGGGTCTTTGGATTTTAGAAACGTTGCAGGGCTACTGCTTGAAGTAGACATTTTGTGCTTTTATTTTTTTCTACATGAGTATAGATTGCTAATCAAATGTTAAAATAGTAAGCTTTTCTTAAAGTTATAGTTCAAATTCAGATTCAAATTTGACTAAAATTTGCCAGGTAATTATGTACCAAGCAAGCATTGTACTAAACACATCTCCATATTGGTTTCCCTTTAGAAATTTAATTGTCGTTGAGGTGACTGAATTCTAGAGTGCTGGGAATCTGCCATGAATTTCCTTATAAATTAAAGGAGTGGAGGGAGGTGTTTGAAGAAGCTGGTGTGAAACCAGGTAGAGTTTAGAAGGCGGAGTGGCACTGGAGGACAGTCATGAGGGGCTTTCGTTCAGCTAGATCCCAGTGCGTGTGCTGTGTCGACCACTTGCAGGTTTTACTCTGGGAAAGTAGCTTCACTTCCACGAGCCTCATTTGTAACCGGGGAGTGTTAGTGTTCTCACCACAGGGCAATTGCTTGAGTGGTTAAATGAGAAAAGTAATGCGAGGCCCACAGTAAGCCATCTTGACATAGAAGAGCCTCAACAGATATTAGACCCCTTTCTGCCTGTTTTGACTAGATTTCACACTGTTTTGAGCCAGGTTAGAATCTTATGTTTCATATATCACTCTTGGAAACCATAATAAAATCAGCAAGTGATACATATCCATTCATAATAGATGGTGATGCTAATTTTCTCTTTTTCATTCTTTTTTTTTTTTAACAGACAACTGGATATGGCCAAGAGGGGAAGTTTAGTGGACCCCTGAAACCCATGACTTTTTCTATTTTTGAAGGCCAAGAACTGAGTCAAATCGTATTCCAGGTAATGGCTACTCTTGATCGCTGTTATCTTGATTTCACAGGGTCTGTCAGCAGACTTTTAACAACTCCTTTAACAACTGCACAGCAGGAAATAAAATAGAGGCATGGCAGGTCTCATTATCAAAGCCAAGTTAAACAGAGAGATGGGTGGCCTCAGTAATGTGGGGCATTGTACCTGACATCTTAATTCAGACTTCCTCAACTATGTCTGGGCAAGTGCTCCCATCCCTGGGGTGGGGAACTTGGTGCCTATAGGCTCCGCCTCTCCCCCAGGGTGGGAAGGGAACCAGTTTCTGGAGTGGGACGGCTGTCTGCCCGTCTGTCTGTTCAATGAGCTTGCCTCTTGAAGCATTTGAAGATGCAGGTTCTCTGCAACAGTGCTGGAATGGCCTGCTTTTCCTCACTGCCTCCTCTGAGCCCATCTCTGGGCCCTTGCCTACAGGTTGGCCAAGGCAGGCTGGGAGGCTGTCATCTCATTTAGTTAGATACCTGAGGAAAGCATCAGATTGAGGGGTGGCCTGCAGGTGGTGGGGAGAGACTTCAGCTATAAAGGGCACTGAAATAACCCTGGAAAGGTAACGGAGAGGGAGAAAAACATACTGCTGTATTGACCAGAAATTCCCTGGCGAAGCCCGCTTGGCCCTGGAGAGGTTGAGGATGCTTTGATGAGCCCCTGGAGGTGCCCGTGACCCACCATCCCCGCACCGGGGGAGCCGAGGAAGGTTGCTAAACTGCCACCTAAGGCAGATGCCCTCTGTTAACTGCTGAGCATTTGTTTTATTGGACGGTTCCCATTTCCAGAGGAGAGGCTGAAAGCTGCCTCATGCCTGCTTCTCTCATTTGGTACCAGATTAGTGCAAAGGGGCCCCAGAGGATGAGCTGGTGGGGGTGCACATGTGTCTCTGTCCCCCTTGCCTTGTAGGGTGTTATAGAGGCCTTGACCTCTCCTTGACCTCTTCCATCAGGGAAGTCAGGCACTGAGGGAGTAGCAAATGCTTTGGAGCTGGAGGCTGATAGGAATTCACTTGGTGAGGAAGGGAGAGAAGAGTGTTCCAGCAAAGGCACAGCGTGGACACCTGCCCTCTGCCGGGAGAGGGTGGGGCGTGTACCGAGGAATGGCAGAAGGCCAGTGTGGCTGGGGAGCAGAGCCTGGAGTAGAAGGTGGGAGAGGAGGCAGCAGAGACAGGAAGGGCCCTGACTCCTAGGACTCCTAGATTTTCTCCCCAAAGCAAGGGGCATGAATCAGGTTTGCATTCAGGAAAGATTACGCTGGTGACAAACTAGTGAGGGAAAGAGAGGAGGCAGGGGGAAGTGTTAGGAGTCCACGGCAGGGGCTCACACAAGAGATGATCCCCTTGTTTACTTACTTTTTCTGCCTTGCCAGGGAGCACTCAGTTGTAGATTCTCTCTTACACTTTTTTATTACTTTCATTTGTGTATTTTTATGCTTTACAAGCTGGTAGGAACTTTGTGGGCCAGGCACACATTTATTTTCTTTTATTAACCATGTATGATGTGCCTCCTGTGTACAAGGTGCTATGCTGGGTACTGGGGTTACGAGATGACCCCAACACCACCCCTGCCCCCAGTGAACTTGCAGGGCAGTAGAAAGAAATTAACAAGCAAGCAAACACGTGCAATGGAGGGTTCTGATTGGAGTCTGGTAGGATGCAGGGGGGCAAAGGGCAGGTGATTTTAAATGAGGATGGTAGTGTGTGAACAGAAGAGGTTTCATTGACCCCTAAGCTGAATATTCCAAGATGAGCCACACTTACCAATAGAAAGCAGGCCCTGAGTATAGCACGGGAAAAAGCAGGAGCGTGTGCATTTAGTAAGAGCATGGAAGATGACAGGTGGTCCAGAGTTTAGGGTGGGAGACTGTGTGTAGTCAAAAGTGAGGCTGCTGAGGCCACGGGGGCTGGACGGGCGCTTTAACCTGTGGTAGGCCGCATGGCGCTCTGGCGGGGTTAAGCAAGGAGCGCAGGAATTGGATTTGTGCTTGTACAGACCTACTCTGTGATGGCTGTGAGCATGGTTGTGGGGGTGAGCCTAGAGGTGGGAAGGCTTTTGGGAACTTTACCATAGTCCAGTGGGAAGCGATGGAGGCCTTGTTTAAATAAGTACAAAGGGGCAGTGGAGCGAGGGAGGTGAAGAGCATTGTGAGGAAGCCACACCTCCTGGAATTGGTTACTGAATGAGTGCGGGGGGTGAGAGGATAAAGGTGTTTAGGTTAACTTTAGGATCTCAGGCTTCCTTGACTGGGTAGTTAGTGATGTCATTCAGAGAGAGAGAGAGAGAAAAGATTGACGGAAAAATTAGTGATTAAGTTTTAGGCTTACTGAGTTTAAGGTTATCTGTGGGGCAGCCGGGTGATGTCCAGGAGGCAGTGGTCATATGGGACTGGAGGTATAGACTGGGGGGGTCTTCCTCATACAGGTGCTAATTCAGTGCTTGGGTGTGACATGAATGCCCATCTGTAGCGAGTTATCTTGATGGCCCACGAGGGCCGGGCAAGTGATGAATGAAGCCTGCTGAGAAAAACAACAGCAAAAAACAGATAAAAGAAAAAAACCTAATTGTGCAAATGTGAAATTAAAAGGCTTTTGGTACTTGGCTTCAGCATATGGGACACTAGGGAGTACTGGGGACTGTGGTAAACTAAGAGTGCATCAAAAGGGGATAGGCTCAATTCAGCTCCAGACAAATTTCACAAGTCAGAATTTGGGTTTGTTATTACTAGATTTTATAATTTTCAAGAAAAGTCAGAAAATTTTATATTCCTGTAAAATTTCCTGACTTAAGAATGTTGGCACAGTTTTTTTAAAAATTGTTATATAAGCTAAAAAAAACATATTTGTGGGCCAGAGAGTCTGTGGTTACTTCTGCAACCTCTGTATGAGGAGGCTCAAGGGCTGAAGGTGTTCTGTGAGTGCAGGCCCACATTCCATTGAGTGGAATCAGGACTGTACACAGAGGCAATCCCCAACTTACAAACTTCACAGATCTCAAAACTGTCCTCAAACTGTTTAACGGGATCATTCTGCAGTCTCTGAGGATCCCAGCCAGTAAAATCACTCCTTGGGCTTGCCACTTCTTTTTGTGTTCTTTTTCCATTAGCCACACTACAAAGCTTATCTCTTCTTGGCAGGAAATGATAGCCCAGTTGTCATGGCTGAGCGTTTCATGTTTATGGGTGTGTGTGTGGGGCTGGAGGAGTAGGAGACAAAGGAGTCTTCCTTCCTAGGATCACAGAATCTTTGTGCTAGAAAAAACCTTAGAGACTTCTGATACCAACTGCTTGTTTTACAAATAGGGAAGCTAAGGCTTAAGTTAATGGCAGAGCTGAGACCAGAACACAGGTCTCGTGACTCGTGGTCGAGCATACCATGCTCTTTCTGTGGTTGTATGTGGAGATGATGCAGCAAACCTAGCCTTGACAAGATGTGCTTTGAGCTCTTGATTACAGTGGTGGGGAGGAGTTGTACCAATCCCCTCACCCATACCACTTGAAATATTCTTACCTGGAGTTAGGGAGGCACAAAGCAAACTCATTGCCCCATGAGGTTGATCCCTGGGTTATTAACATTTCCTCCAAAAAACAAAACAAAACAAAACAAAACAAAACAAAACAAAACAAAACAAAACAAAACAATAAAACAAAACCGAAACTGCCACAGACTTCTTTCATTGAGGATTTTCAATTAGCCCCAGCTCGGTACTCTCAGGGGCTTCTAGATCGTAAGATAGTATGATATAAATCTGAGACAGGTCATTTTCTTTTCGTTTTTCTTTGTAATAAGCTATAGCTCACACACTATAAAATCTGCTCTTTAAAAATGTGCAATTCAGTGATTTTTAATGTATCACAAAGATGTGCAACCATCACCACTATCTAATTCCAGAACATTTTCATGAGCCTCAAAAGAAATCCTGTACCCATTAGCAGTCACTCCCCTTTCTCCTCTCCTCCTTGCCCTTGGCAAACACTAATCTACTTTAAGTCTCTATAGATTTGCCTATCTAGACATTTCATATAAATGGAATCATACAACATGTGGCATTTTTTGTATGGTTTCTTTTACTTAGTATAATATTTTCAAGGTTCATCCATGTTGTAGCATGTATTAGTATTTCATTCCTTTTTTATGGCTGAATAATATTCCATTGTATGGATATACCATATTTTGAATATCCATTTATCAATTGACAGACATTACAAATAGTGCTATTATGGACATTCATGTACAACTTTTTGTGAGGACATATGTTTTCAATTCTCTTGGATATATACCTAGGAGTGGAATTACTGGGTCATGGTTAATTTAATATTTAAATTTTGAGGAACTGCAAAACTGTTCTCCAAAGCAACTGAACCATTTTATATTCCCACCAGCATTGTATAAATGTTCCCGTTTCTCCACATCCTTGCCAATGTTTGTTATTATCTGTGTTTTTTATTATAGTTATCCTAGTGGGTGTGAAGTGGTATTTCTTTGTGGTTTGCATTTACTTTTCCCTAATGACTAATGATGTTGAGTATCTTTTCATGTGCTTATTGGATATTGGTGTATCTTCTTTGGAGAAATGTCTATTCAAATCCTTTGCCTATTTTTTAATGGAGTTGTTTGTCTTTTTATTGTAAGAGCTCTTTATATATTCTGCATACAAATTCCTTCTCAGATATATAATTTGCAAATATTTTCTCACATTCTATAGGTTATCTTTTCGCTTTCTTGATAGTGTCATTTGTAGCACAAAAGCTTTTAATGTTGATGAAGTATAAATTATTATTTTTTGTTGTTTATGCTTTTGATGTCATATCTAAGAAACTATTGCCTCATCTAGAGTCACAAAGATTTATGCCTGTGTTTTTTTCTTAGAGGTTTATAACTTTACCTCTTACACTTAGACCTTTGATCTATTTTTAGTTAGTTCTTGTGTATGGTGTCAGGTAGGGGTCCAACTTCATTTTTTTGAATGGGGATATCCATTTGTTCAGCA